TATGCTCACATAATACTCTGCACTGCCTCTCATAGCACTTAGCACAACTGGTAATTAAACAAAGTACGTAATTATTTGCTTAACATCTATCTCTTCACTAGACTAAGTTTTCTTTTTTTCTCTAATTTTTAAAAATTTTCTCAGGGCAGAGATTTGCCTTTTTCTTTACTATATTACTAGTACCTAGCATGTGCCTGGTATACAACATGCACTCAAGAAAATTTTGTTGAATGAATGAATGAATTACAGGAAATACCCAATTTGGGGGGATGACTGAATAGGCAACACATAATATATACAATTGGTAAAGAGATGAAAGAGAGTTGTGACTGTTGCTAAACTGAGAGGTAGAAAAGGCCGAAGAGGTACAGATGAGAAGAAAAATCATACCACCTCATAAAACACTGAGAAGTTAACACAACATATAGGTGAAAGCAGACTTCAAATAGGACATGATTTCCATGAAAACCAGATGTCAAATATCAATGTCACAGAATTTCCCTGGGAGTTTCATGGATGCTTAGCATGAAAGGAGGTGTAACTATCTCCCCCCACCAACTACGCAGGATTGACAAAACAGCGCAGTGGGGAGGGAGATACGTACTGGGCGAATGTCTGCTGAGCTCCAGCTCTGGTCTCTCCAGGCTGCTCTGAAAGTCAGGAGGCAGCAGGGAAGCCACTCCCTCAGGATGGATCATCTCGTCCTCTGACTCAGCTGAAGCTTCTGCAAAGTACAGATCGGGTCGGGGCAGGGAGGGAGTGAAGGGCTCAGCATGTGGAAATATGTAGAGGAGTGAAGGTGGTCAGGCAAAGTCACAGATAAAGAGATACATACCAAAAAGAGCACTGTACATAAGGAAAAAAACTCCCTAGGATTAAGCTCTACCTCATCTACATGGTAGCTTAATTTACTTTTAACTCTTCCTATTGGCAGGAATCCTCTTTTAACAAGACAAATTAAGTGTCTTCTTCCCTGACAAAAGTAAATAGTAACTCACTTGGCTCCATAAACTACCAAAGTAAGTAAGTAGCAGTCTCAGCCTGACTTATTCCTGAAAAATTTGTTGCCTAGTTAGACAGACCTATCTACTCAGTGACAGGAAAAACAATGAAGAACTCCTTGTTAGAAGTGACAAGCTGGGCTTACCTTCAAGTTCTGCAGCTTCTCGAGCTTCACGTTCTAGACGCTGCCTAAGTAGCTCCTGCTGCTTTTCCAGATACTGCTTTATGAAACTGTTCTGGCTCATTTCCTCACCAATCTGTGTAGAGGAAATGGAAAAAGAAGGTCTAGGAAAGTAAACCAGAAAAATGCAAAGAAGAAAATTCCATGGAGCAAAGGTATTCTTACAGTTGGACCCAAGAAAGATAACTAGAATGTTGGAAGGACCTTTTCTAAGCTACTCCTATACCGAGGACCAGAATAAATAGCCCTATGAGTCAAAAAAGACGGCAAAATGAGGAACTGCACATAATTTTTTCTTTTAAATATTCACTTCCCGGGGCTGGCCCGGTGGCGCAATGGATAGTGCACCGCTTGGGAAGTGCGGCGGCGCTCCCGCCCAAGGGTTCGGATCCCACATACAGACCGGTTCCTGCTCACTGGCTGAGCGAGGCGCGGGAGCAGCACCGAGGGTTGCGATTCCGTTGCCGGTCCCTGGTCCGGTACGGGGGCAACACTGAGGGTTGCGATCCGTTGCCGGACACAGAAAAAGACAAAAGACAAAAAAAATAAAATAAAATAAAATAAATAAATATTCACTTCCCAAAGAGTGATGTTGGTGCATAAATAACTTGAAATCAGAATTCCTGTAATTAGGCCTTTTGATATAAATTTTTAGATAATGTAGAACATTTATGTAAAGATATCTAAAATTTCCTGGGCTGGCCGGTTAGCTCAGTTGGTTAGAGCACAGTGTTATAACACCAAGGTCAAGGGTTTGGATCCACGTACTGGCCAGCCACAAAAAATAAAAATAAAAAAATAAAATTTCCCTTTAGTACTATCAAAACTGGAAAAAACAAAAGCAGTTCCTTCACAAGATCAATCTCCACCTATCCAGGAAACATTCTGTCAAACATCTACAAAATTCAAGTACAGTATTTAAAAGTTTAAAATCAAGAGACTAAGAAAAGAGATATCTGTTCAGCATTTAGACAGACTTATAACTCCATTTTCCTTGAGTGAAAAGAAATCCTTGGTAACAATACTTAAAATCCAAGGGCTTATCCCCTTTCCCATTTTTTTTTTCCTGTAATACAGACTCCCACATCACTATTCTGCTCTTCAGCTTTCTCTTCACAAGTCCTTCTCCCTAGAACCTTCTTGCTTAGCAAGTCCTATTAGAACTCCAGGAAAAAACCTGAATAAATATTTTCTAAGTTATTAGTTACAATTCCTAAGCACAGTAAATGTTTATTTTCATCTAAGGTAGAATTAGTCTCTTGGTACTTCAAGAGATATTGATGAAGTGTGGGTTTCATGAATTAGAGAATATCCATGTTTGCTGCAAAAATCCTACCTTAATAAAAACAAAGCTCAAAGAATAAAACGTAGTGAGCAAAAGGAATACAATGGTAAAGTGATTAACTTACGCAGTTGCTTATGCTTATTAAAGTATTTAACTAAACCTCTAAAAGCTGGTTAGATTATGATACTTATAGCTTAATGAGGTGATAACAAGGGAGTAGGTAGGCTCTCTTGTTTTCCACAGTATCTTGGGACTTCATCTAGTACTGGGGCTGCACACCATTGCACTAACAAAGACCTGGGATTTTCCTTTAAGTGTGTGACACACTATAACGAGGGGATTTTAAAAGCTGAAAGGATCCATGAGAGTGTGCAAAGACTCTTTCTTCTTTTAAAAAACTGTGGTGGGCCGGCCCGTGGCTCACTCGGGAGAGTGCGGTGCTGATAACACCAAGGCCCCAGGTTCGGATCCCATATAGGGATGGCCGGTTCGCTCACTGGGTGAGCGTGGTGCTGACAACACCAAGTCAAGGGTTAAGATCCCCTTACCGGTCATCTTTAAAAAAACAAACAAACAAAAAAAAACTGTGGAATATTTTCTTCAAAAGAAATCTTATGCAAAAACTCAATATATAAAGCTGATAAAAGCAGACCTAATCTAGTTTGAGAGGAGTATGAACCCTGCTTACGTGGGAAGAAGGTACCTTCCCTATGAAGTCCCCAAAAGCAGCTCCACGAAACCCCAGCAGAGCAGTTATAAAACTATGGATCTATTCCAACCTTTTCTCATATTACAGATAAGGGAATTGAGGAAACCAAGGCCTCCAAAGGTTAAATTTCTTATCTTAAGTAACAGAGCTATTATGATGTTTAAGAGTAACTGTAGAGAGTTAGTAGTTAACACTAGTAATGGTGGGTGACTTACAAAGAATTAAGTACTTGGAAAATCTACGTCAACAAAAGGGTTCTTGGTCAGCAAATATTTTCCTACACTGCCCTATTGGTAGTCTATTTCATATCTACATTCAAAGATATCAACTACTTTTCCCAAATCAATGGCAAATGAATGACTTCAGATCCCTGTACTACACACCTTTCTTCACACATCGTTCACCATTCTGTGCATCGGAAATTCACTAATAGCTCCTCTGATTCTGTTCTTTACTTCAGGCCCTTGTGTGCCACTGGGCTTGATTAGAATTCAAATGTCCTAAGAGAACATTTCCAACCAAGGAAACTTAGGGAAATACTGGTGAGGAATTAAGCATCGAATGTACACCACCATGTCCTTCCATGTGTCTGGACATCCAAACAGCCCACTCCATCTAATGAACCTTCTTTCTTACCTGGGAATTTGGCTGGAATGCAGCATGGGGTGTTGAGTGTTTCTGTAAATTTTCTAGCATTAGAGCCTGGTACAGAGAAGGGCAAAAGTCAGAAAACAGGAGGGGAAAAAAGAAAAAACAACCCACCTCTCCCACAACCTCTTCGTTTAATGCAATGACTTAAATATACACTTAAACTGTACTCCTTTTCAGGGCCCTAAAAAAGCCTTTTACTAACACTGTTCTCATTCATCTTCAGAAGACACTTAAAGTAGCCATGGTTACTGTTCCTAAATGTACACATGTAAAATGCAGGCACATGGAAAAAATCAGTGACCTGGCTGTATCATAAAATCAGTGACAGAAGCAAGATTACAATCCCTATTATCATTCGCACTTTTGACAAGTACCCCTTCTAAATCTGACCATGCAGGTAAAATCATCTCAAATACTCAACTCAGCTTTAAATACATGAAACCAACACAGGGCTACTGGTTTTGGCCTAATCAAATTACTTGGTCAAACAGCTATCCAGAACTAGATCTACTTATAATTTCCAGCACAGTGGCACCTAGACTCATCAAAAAGGAGTCTACGGAAGAAAACGACCACAGACTCTGTGGTCTGACCTAACACACACACACACACACACACACACACACACACACACACACACACACACACACATCGTCAGCTTCTGTATAAGCAACGGTCCGCCAACTCAACCCTTGGGCCAACCTAGCCCTTACCCGCCGCGTATCCTAACGAACTCTAATTAAAACCAACACATCCTCATTGCCCTACCGTTTACACCAGACTACATATACCAATCCATCTATCTCATGTCAATCCCACCCTAATCTACTCAAACCGATTCAAAATCTCCAATATACACCAACCTGCCTCACTTCTCTCACCAATATTCACCAAACTCCTATCCACCCAAAATGCTTTTGGATGACCTATAAATTAGACACCCTGTCTCACCAAGTCCCTTCAAATCAAGGCCTCTCTTCATTTCACCTCCTAATATAATTAAGCAGACATTTTACCCTACCCCAGTCCTATTCTTAAGGATACAGATACCAACCCCATCCACCCCTCCGCCAAAGTATACACCTAACTCCGACCCAGCCCAACTCGCCCCCCGCAGGCCAGCAACGCCGGTGGTTGTAGTGGGATTTAACTCCTTCTGCAGCGCATGCGCCGAAACCACAGACACAAACAAGGAGGGGGTGGGGGAAGGAGGAAGGAGCTTAAGACACTCCGGGAGAGTAGCGCACACCCTCCCATTTTGGGCTCGCGCTGCTGCCGTTAAGGCGGGAACCGGCATGATCTCTACTCCAGCGCGAGCCTCACCAACCACCGTGCGCGCGGATCCGGAGGCTCGCGCTGGCGGCCTGAGCGAGCTCGCGCCGAGCCCAGACACTGCGCCTGCGCCGCGGCAGAGACTCGTCTCTACCGGGTCCGCTCCCTTCCGACACCCCGGCAACGCCGACTCCTCACCCCTTTGAGCCGCTTGACCAGGGCACTCTTCTGCCCGCTCTTGGCTAGGCCTCGCTGCTCCAGTGCGGCCTTCAGGTCGGTCACCCGCAGCGCCTGCAGAGGCTTCCCGTCCAGAGTCACCTCCTCCAGCTCCGCCATCTTGCGTGAGGTACTCGGGTCCGTCCCGACGGCTTCGGGCATCTTCGGTAATTTCCGCCAACGCCCTTCGAACGTACCGAGCCGACCCCGCCCACTACCATAGTCTACCCCTCGATTACCACTTAGAACTCCCCGGGTTCCTCCGTGACCGCTCGGGTGTTTCCGTCTCTACATCGGCACCAATCGGTTCTTTGCATTCGTTCCGCCGCTCCCCCTCCCTCGCCCTGCTTTCAGGCTCGATTATTTTCGTTTTGCCGAGCCTTGAATCGAATCTATTCGGAAGCCTTCGACTTTGGCATAGCCATAATCGGACATGTTCGGCTGTCTCCGGACATGGAGCTGAGGCGCGGGGGCGCTTGGGTGTTTTGGGGCTGGGCCGGGGCCGGAAGTGCGTGGGCTGTCGGGCTGGCTCTGCTTAGGGTTTTCAGGAAACATGGAAGAGGCGAAGGTAGTTGGAGTCTAAGGACTCTTGTGACGATCTCCGGGTGCCCTCTGAGAGGAAAGGGGAGGTAAGCGGGGTGGAAGTTCCTTCTTGGGAGGGGTCAGACTCGGTGTTTGCGGGTTACCTTAGTAGGGCAAACCTCCTGCTCCCTTATGGAAACAGCTGCCGCCCCCTATCTTCTAAATCCCCGTCACTCCCATCTGAGGCTATGTTACTCGTTTGGGGTATCAGAGTAACCGGCTCCGTGGTCTCCAAAGTGAGCCAGAGGCAGCAACGTGTCTTTGGACCCAGACTGTGAATTGATTCTTGCCGTGGAACCCATGTGGCAAGATTCTGTAAGAGTTCTCTGTTTCCCTGAATAAGAGGATAAAGTTTCTTTAGTAGGAACTGCTTCTTGTAAGGCCACTGTGAGAAAGGCAACCACCCTGAACTGTTTTCGTACTTGAACTGATGTAATTGTTTAGGAATTCCTTTATTTGTCACTAGAAGTTGAGGCAATTTGCAGCAGAAGAAACACAAACAGTAAAATAGTTTAAGGTTTTCGTTGTTAAGAGATTCAAACTGTGAGACTGAAAACTATTCAAGTCAAATTGGCTGACATTCCAATTGCATTCGTGGTGCAAAATCAGTGGCAGGGCACCAATAGGTATCATATTAAAAATCAAGGAAAATATTTTTAAAGGCATGAATTGTCATACAGCAGTATGACACTTGCTAGATCCCTAAACTAACAAACCAACTGTCCTGTTTTTTCAGAGTCTTGAATAAACACCTGGCTTCGCCTGTTTTTGTTTTGTTTTTACTGGGTTACCTTATTTTGAGCAAGGCCTTCACTGTGCTCTTTAGTTTTTCCTGGTGCTTTACAGGAAATATATAAGAAGGTGATGGATGTTATGAAGTTCTTGGCATATTTCAGAGGCTGTATGCACATCTCAAAGAAGTCTCTTTCATCATATATGATGTTTTTTCTTTTCTTTCACTGCTGATAGTTCCGGAACAATTAGCATTTAGACTCTGACCAGCTGCATGTACTAGGTTAAAAAATGTGTACTTTTTCATTTTAGAGAAGATGTGATAGACCAACACTAATCATTGTTTTTTACTTTACCAAACCGGGAACATAGAAGTAGGAGGGAGAGAATGAGCAAGAAATATGTTCGTTGTTTCAGCTTCTTTATGAGAAAGATGGAGGGAGGCAGTGATTGGAGAGGGTAATGGATTTGAGAAAGAAAGAAGGCTGGCAAATATGAAGTGAAGTTCTCCTTGGTTAACTTCTCTAAGATAGTTGAATAATAATCTAAATAAAGGACCTGTTGTTTTCCAGTAAATTGAATTGGTGGGAAGTAATTTTCTCTGTAGATGCTGAGTGTGATAAGATTCCTTGCTGCTGGGAAGTTGTATTTTGATTGCTCTATCTGGAGAGTGTATAACAGTGCTTTTATGTTTCAGGATGCCACTGGAATCATCTTCCTCTTCAATGCCACTATCTTTCCCTTCTCTCTTACCCTCAGTACCAGACAATATTACTAACTCTTCCCCTCCCTCAATGTCTTACATCACTTCCCAAGAGATGAAGTGTGTTCTTCACTGGTTTGCCAATTGGTCAAGTCCCCAGCGTGAACGTTTCCTACAGGATTTGGTAGCTAAGGCAGTGCCAGGAAAGTTACAGCCACTGCTGGATGGTCTGGAGCAGCTTAGTGTGTCTGGGGCAAACCGACCACCCTGTATCTTTGAATGCCAGCTACGTCTTTGGGATCAGTGGTTTCGAGGTTGGGCTGAGGAGGAGCGCAATGAATTTGTCAGGCAGCTGGAGGTCAGTGAGCCAGACTTCGTGGCAAAGTTTTACCAAGCAGTGGCTGCTACAGCTGGTAAAGACTGACAGGCATTCACATCAAAGAAGATAACCACAACTGATGGAGCCAGGGCAATGACTCTACAGTGAGAACTAAATTCAAATGTGTCATTGAAAGATCTAGGAGTGGTATACTGATCAGCTGACTGAATTTGCTGACCAGCACAGGCATAGTTATTTCAACATTAACAGCATGCCAACTGGACTCCTAGGGTAAATGTTATCCATCTAAGCAATCCAGATCATCATTCTGTCTCCTAGTTTGCTTCTTTCCAAGAGATGGCAAACCCTCAAGAATTTGATAACTTCTTTTGCAACTATAACCAAAAGGAACCTATACATTATAACTCAAGCCTACTGCTGGCCCATGAGGAATAAAAGTGGAGCTCTCCTTTCCCAGAAACAGGAGAAAAGGGCAATAAAAGGTCATATTTTTATAGTTTAGCTGGATTCAGATGGCTGGTTTTACCACCCTGACCAGATTCTTGCCTGATTATGTGACATCCCAACCACCAGCTTTCTCAGTGATGATTTAGTAAAATTATGGAAAATCAGGAGAGGAAGATAGTTACTCTCTTCCACAGTGTTTATTTGAATCCAGATAGCAATGACTTTTTTTCTAAAGGGTATGTGATATCCTTGGAGCTGGTAGCAGGTGTTCCGATTCTGTGAGTTTGCTCTGCAACAATAGGAAAACAAGTGATACTCTTCACAGGTTGAATGGTTTATTTTTTGTACCAAAATAAATAATGGATCTTCAGAACCATAAGACTCCACTTTCTTTTCATTACAAGGCTAGTATAAAGTTGATATCTGGGGACAGAGGAATTGCGAAGAAAGTAGAACTTAAGTGTACACAGTAGATTTGCCATCCTGTTGTCTCCCAAGAAATAATAATAATATTATTCTTTCCTACCCTCTGTCGTGTTGTGGGTAACATCACACCTCCCTTATTTGTCCAACTGGGCCCCTTGTGCTGTGGAGCTGTGGTGAATGGTAAGGGGCAGATGGTCCCACCTGAAGAGAAGCTCGTTTCTGATAAGCCACAATTCCCAGTGCACCCATGAGGATTAGCAGCATTAGGCAGAGTCCTATGGACAGACTTCCATGGGTCTTGGAGGGATTATGGTCCAAGGTAACCAGCAACCTGGGAACATAGAAGGTAATATTTGGCCTGGAATAATGCCTAGGCCTAGGAGCTTAAAGGGCTTTACCTTTGCATGTAGAATTCATGAAACTGCTTCATCTAAGCATTATGCTAAACAGGAAATCGATAAGGGAATATAGAACCTAAGAGTAGGAATTAGACTAAGAGCCAAGTCTTCTAGCAACTTAAATAGTTAGGAGACCTAACTTGTAAGTGAGGGGAGTGGCTTAAGAGAACAGTCTGACTATGGTGTTGCTAGATATGATCCCTGGGTAGAAAGGAAGATTAGGATCCCTACATCATAGAGATGGGGTAACTCCATTGTATTTGGGGAGGGGGTCACAGAGTGATGGGTTGGAGGTGATCATGTTAATCAGGAATCTTTGTTTTCTGAAATATATAACTGTTCTAGGGCAATATACACGTGAATGAGTGCTTAATAAATGCAAATTTCAAACATCTGGACTGTGATCAAAATGTGAAAGAAAACTACTTGGAATATTATCTTACTTGCTATATTCTGCAATAAAGCTGGCTTCTCCATGACATACTTCTAAAGGCTTTTCTTGGAGAGTCAGGGTCAGGGCCCCATGCAGCATAGCAACCGAAGGCCCTTGGCAGCCAGAGGACTTCTGCATATGCACGGTGAACACCAAACTAGGGGTAATTGATGGGCTGTGGAAATAGCACCTAAATGGATATTTGGATCTGTTAGTGGAGGAGGTATATTTCCTGGAAGAGTATATCTCATGAAACAAGCGCAGGCTTAAGAGTGAGTTGAACAGAAAGAGGAAAGTTGTGAGGTAAAAGACACATGCATTTTCCCTAGCCCATTGTATAAATTCTCAGCCTGAACTGTCCTTTTACCTGTCAATGCCACCTCTGCTCACCAAAGCCTGTAGTACGGCTTCAGCCAACTCTTCTTGCTGTTCCTTCCCCAGGGAGTGGCCTGGGGGCCCAGCTAATCTTAAAGACAGCTGAAATAGTTGGTCTTGGGTTGAAAGACTCACAGGTGAGGAAGTAACAGCGTTGGTAACTTCATTAGTTTGACACAGCCGACCCCGGGGACAGAAGAGAAGACCATAGTACCCAGGTATCTACAAGGAAATATGTAGCAGGGTATAGTTATAGTCTTGGTTATCTGCTCAAGCCTTCATTCTAAGGAAAATATGCATTCTAGATCAGGGTCATTGACTCAGTAGGTACTCAGTAAAAAATGAACATTAAAACAGATTGGATACTACCACACAAGCATTTCCCAACTTCCTTTTGCTAGTGTGCCACGACTATTCCTCTTATGGTACCCACCTGAATAGGCTTTCCTGGAACACATGGGACCCAAGGTGATCCCTCTACCTGCACCTTGTATGCTCCCCTCTCTGTGCATTGATGTAAATAGCAGCGGCCAGTGAGTTCCACTTCCTTGAGGTATGGGATCTGAGAAGGATGCCTGGTCTCCTCCCCAGGGAGCAGTTGTGAAGTGAGGTTGGCAAGGAAGCAACGACTCTGGGAATGGTAGATCTCCCCATGGGGATTCTCGGCCTCAGCCGGGAATCCATTTTCTTTTTTCCAGCATTCACTCTGAAGGGCAGGGCAGAAGGTAGAATAGTGTTTGTCTAGGTGCTTTAGAAGTTGACTCCCAGGCCCACTCAGTTTCATTCTCTGCTCTCTAGTCGACTCACCCCATTGGCTAAGGGCTTGTACATGCGGCAGCCTTCCAGCATAGGGTCTGAGGAGCAGCTTCCCTTGTCCAGGTGCAGGTAGTGGCAACCCAGCCCACTGTGTGGAAGGGATGGTACATTAACACTAGGATCACTGACAACTGTGTAGTCCCCCAACCACTCAGCACACATACCTTCCAGTACAGAAGAAGTCTGAGGAGCCAGTCCCACATGTGGTCACCAGGCCAAAATCCAGGCCAGATCCTGCTTGAGAGATGGCAAGAGGAAGAGAGCCCTCAACAAATGAAGCCCCAAACATCTCTCAGCACCAGCTATGCTTAGAGCTTCAGTTATATCTTAGTGGCAGATAATCCCTTCTAACCTCTCCCACTTCCCCCAGCACTGCGTGAGTGCCCCTCTGCAGTTCTTCCTAATTTCTCACCCTGGCCCCACAGCAACTCCTCCGCAGTGCTGTGGTTGACCTGGTACCAGCCTGAGTCTTCGAAGGCAGCAAGAGTGATTGGGTCGAGTCGAGTGTGCTGAGCACCATCGAAGGTAGCAGTCATTAAAGAGCCCTGGAGTAGTCTAGCCTCCCAGTGTGAGGACAAAAGGCCCTACAGGAGGAGGTGTCAGATGGCTGGTTGCCACCTGGCTACTTCCTCTTTCTTCTACAACCCCAAGGCACTCTTGTTCTCACCTCTTCTTCCAAGGGAACACCCAGTGAAACCCTTGGCACTCCCAAGTGTCTGGCCAGGCTGTGACTAACAGCTGGGGTGGTGAGAAGCAGCTGTCCCCACTCATCTCGCCTCATCACTTGTGGCCTTGTAGAACAGTTCTCTCTAACTGGGTTCAGAAAGGGAAGGAAGCAACATGAAGAGAGGAAAACTAAGGAAGGGTGAGAGAAAATGGAAGGAAGGAGGTCATGAAATAGTGAATTCCCTCTGGTTGACACTGTGGGAAGTCCCCTCCCTTACTCCTCTCATTTACCTCTGAGACCTGAGGGGCAATCCCGCCACTTCTTGAAGAGCTGTCCAGAGAAACCCAGGGCATGAAGCAATTCATGTAGAGTGGCCTAAGGACAGATGACTGCCAAGTGAGGGGGGACTTGCAGCAGGATTGACCAACCACTCTACAGCCCCTCTGCCCAATCAGCACTTCTTAGAGCTCGAGGCTCCTATTCCATCCTCAGGAGGTTCTTCCACTTCACGGGAAGCTGAGTGACCTGCCCCTCACCCCCAACCTGTTTACTTCTCCACATTCATCATGTAGCAGTCACCATGACGATGTCACTGTGGCTGAGGCTGGGACTGGTGAGATGTTGGGCACAGTAGACAATGGTACCAGCAAGGGGCCTGTCTTCTGAGTCCAGCTGGCAGGAGGCAGCATAGGCTATGATGGAAGGCTGTGGATGGGCCAGGGTAGGGATGAAAAGGAGGAAAGTGGGGTAACACAGACAGAAGAAATCTTCCAGAAAATGGAGAACCAAGGGACTCTGCAGAACTCCACAGGAGTGGTACCACAGGATGGTTTGGTGGTGGTGGTGGGGGGGTGTTTAGCCCCTACCCAAACCTTATCGGCATTCCCAAATTACCTTAAATAAGCTCAACTTAGTAAAAACTGCTTCTATGCTCCCTACCTTTCCTCATGAGATTTAAGATTAAAAGAGGCAGAGCAGGGAAAAGGGATTTGATTTGAACCTCACCTCTTGGTGGCACTTGGAAGTGTGGGCAACCCGCACATACAGGAGAAAATCAGAGTTTTGAACCCCAGGCCCGTCTGGCTGGACCAGTTGGGGGGGACCCTGCTCAGGCCACAAGGCATAACCATGGAGATGGGCATCAGGAATCTAGTAGGGAGTAAAATGTAGCAACTTGCTTAGCAGACGGGCTGGGGCACTAGGAAACTGGGTACTAGGACTGAGGGAGAGTATCTTTGGTCTGCCTTTGTGTCATCTAGGTAGCTGGTTAGAATACAAAGTTCTGACCCCCACCCCCAGTCTCTGATATAATTAATTTCTGGAGTGGAGGAGAAGGGGCTCAGGAATCTACATTGCTACGAAGCACATTAAGTAATTCTGAAGCTGTTGGTCTTGAGCTTGAGGTCTAAGCAGGCTACAGATCTCCAGATCCCTGAGACAGAAAAGTTGCTCTCACCTTTGCACCCAGGCAACTCTCTCCTTCGTACCCTGGGTTCAAGAGGCTGCACCTGCCAAGAATGCATTTCTATAGGTGAGCTGGAGACATCTCTGGGATCCCTGAAGAAATATTGTATACATTGTCAATGAAATGAGTACCTGTGATAGTTCAGAGTGTCTGGGTCTCCCCAGACAGCGTGGCAGTACTGTGTAGGGTCTCGACTCAGAAGCAGGGGTCCTTGCACTGGGGGGACTTAACAAGACAAGAGGTCAGTTTCACCTCAACATCTTAGAATATCAGTTCCTTTTCTGTGTTGGTCTTCCCCCCCTTGACCTTTCTGCTCCTCAGCCTTCCCTGACTCCTCCTGTTCCCTCACTCACCTGCTAGGACGCCCTGGATTCGCTGAGTGGCCTCTCTCACTGCAGCCAGGGCTCGGGACCCCCCTCTCTTTCCATTCCTCTCAGGATCCCAAGCTCCATCTGATATAGGATCTTCTATATAGCAGGTTTGGATTCGGAGGGGTTGAGGATCACGGGAGCCAGGGAAGGTGAGGGAGGAAGAACGGAAGTTTGGGGGAAGTTGGGAGAAAGGGGGCCTGAGAAGGTTCACAGACTTCTGCGTCTCGTCATGTAGACATCTGCTTGTGACAACCCCAAGGAGGAGCAGAAGCAGCATCTTCCTTCCGTATCTCTCCGTAGCTTGCCCTGGATCTTGTCTCCTGTCCTCTTGTCCCCGTATCTCTCCGTAGCTTGCCCTGGATCTTGTCTCCTGTCCTCTTGTCCCCGGCTCACTTACTCCTGGCTTTCCTCTCTTCACTCTCTATATATCTCCTCCCCCACCCTTGCTTATTTTAAGGTTTAAGTGTTGTTGACTAAATCAACAAGGCCAGGAGGTGGCCAGGAGGTTTGAATATGAACCACAAAGGCCAAAGCCACCCTCTTCTGGGGGTGCCAGAGGTGGATACTGGGGGACGGGGAGTGTTGTTCTAAGGCCTCAACTGACCTTTCCAAAAAGGAGCTTGCCTTGTCCACAATGGAACCTTTTCCTAACCCTCTTCCATCTCTCATCCAAATTCCCCTGCCTTTCTGAGTAGAAAACCTTGGAAACTTCCCCAAACTAAAAAATTAGTGTCAACATAGTGGGTGGAGGAAGGGGGACATTCTTTGCTTCATAGCTGCCTGCCTGCCTCTTTGGAGATGGGCAAACAAGGCTTCTGGACTTCACTAGCCCCAATATCAGAACTGGGTAGCCTCTAACTAAACTGCAAGACCTTTTGGCATCTACATCTATGTAGGGCTTTTAGTAAGTGTTCAGCAAGTACATGTTAGTTGACTGAACCTCCTATGAGAGGCTGTTGTGTTAGGTCTATGAGGCTTCATGAAAACTGCTTACAGACGTGCAGGAGAGGGAAAGTAAACTCTTAAAATGGACATTAATAGATGTTCAAAGATGGTCTTATGGAACTCTTGGAACTCTATTTTCTTGGCTCACGCTGTGCTTTCACATCCTGTTTCCTTTGCTTGGATACCCCTCCTCCCCCGCCTGCCTGTCTAGCTCCTACTTTTCCTGTAATTGCTCTGGGAAGCCTTTCTTAACACCTTTAGCCCAAATTCCACACCTGCCACTTCACAGGAGGGCCCTCTCGTCCCAGCTATGAACAGAGCACTTGTCATCCCCTATTATAATCCTTAGCTTAGTGGCTCTCCCTCCACACCCTAAACTCCCTGAAGGTAAACCTGCTTCCTGTTGG